CTCTCTGGCTGCGGCTGGCCGTGGCGCTGGGCTTTGGTGGTGTCGGTTTGTCGCTTTGGCCGGACATTGAGGTGCGTGCTCCCCTGTGATCGAGAGGATGCAAGCACGAGACTTTTTATCTCATGATTCGAAATGATCGACTCGCACACAGACGACGGTCATCTATCCAGACCATCGCATCGAGCAGCACAGTGCCCCAGCTGCGCTGCGCTGGGGACAGACAACCCTTTGGCCCTTGACCCCAGCTCAGCCCTTGCGCCCGAGTGCTGTCTACACTGAACAAGGTAGGCTTCTGCTTCAAAGCGCAGACTGGCTCTTGACATGGGTGGACATGGCATCTTAGTGTACCTATGCGTTGCCCTTCCTGCTCAACCCAGTTCTGGGCGTGCGTGTTCGCGCCGAAATCCTGCGCTACTGCACTACTGGCTATCAGGTACATCACGTCCGCAGCAATCGACTTCTCGCTTCACTCCCTCATCCTTTGGGCAATCTCCAGGTGTGCTTTGATCTTGAGAGTGGGCGCGAGCTTCTCCTCACCACATACTGCACTACGGGCAGCGCAACGTATGTCTTTCTCCCTCTATTTTTTTCCGTCTTCTTTTTTATGCTAGTTACAGACGGCCCGAGCCAGACTTGTGCGCTTGATTCTCATTGGTGCACTATATAGGCCCCATAACAAGGCTGCACGGGAAATTCATGCTTTCTGGCAACGTGTCAATCCCAAGACACCTGTCGAGCTGACTCTGCTTGAGAATGAAGACCCTGTGACTTCTCCTTCCCAAACCACAGGTACGGCCAAAGTTTTTTTGCCTGCACCCCAGCCCGGTGATGGGCGGAGGCCCAAAGCGAGCTGATTGCCTTGTTGCCAGCAGTGCTCAATTTCTGCTCCCTCCTCTTGGATGACAGGGTGGCATGCTTTCTTGGAGCGGCAGTTGTATCGGCGCTTTCGAGATCGCCAAGACTAGGGGGCACCTTTTGTCCCCCTTTCCCAACGAGAGGGGCCTTTGCTTGCTTGCCTATTGGCCCTCTTCTCTTTCGCTATTCCGCGCTTCTTTGCTGCCGCCAATTCCTGCGCTGTGCAGTGCTTGAAGCCTTCTCTTCCAAAAGTGCAGCTGGCTGGCCAGCTGTCGGTCTCAGTATTGGACCTTGCACGCATTCACGTCAAGGGACGATTCGAGCCCTTGACTGCCTGATTTAATAGACATGTAAAATAAAATGGCACAATGGCTCGATCGATTGTTGTAGATTGGCCGCTTGCAGCAAACTTGAATCAGAGAAACGTCTGATGCTTTCTGGCGATGCACTCTCAGCTCAAACAGGTTGAGCCCACAGGAAAACTGAAACAATAAGGGAAAGGAGGGGGGCGCTATGTTGTCTCGGAAAGAAGGGTGGGCAGATGGCGTTTTAGGCTGCCGAGGAACTCGGTATAGCGATCGCCCGAAAGGCGTACGTTGTCACGCCAATGTTGTGAAATGTTGTGTGCCGTGACCGAGTGGTAGATGGACGAGGACGTGCAGATGAGCTCGCCCGAGACCTCTGGAAACCCAATGTTAATGCCTGGGAAGGGATGCATGCGCTGTCGAAGGACAATGTACACGGTGGAGCGCGAAGGTGAAATACCCGCATTGACGTAGTATCGTGAGAAGACGAGATTAAACGGCAAGACATGCTGATAGAGAAGGTCAATAATGCGTTGCACAACAACGATGGCACCCGTGGCCGTGGTGCGAAAATACTCCACGGCTAGCGTGTGTACGGGGGCGTCAGGAAGGATGTGAAGCGTCAGTTCTTCGCCAAAGCGGAAGTAGAGCTGGCGCGTTGCCAATTCAACGGCCAGGGGCGCGTCAAACTGCCAGAATTGAAAGTGTAGATGGTTGACGCTGGCACCAGCCTCGAGCGAGTTGAAGGCCAGCCGCGTATATGGATTTTGTAGGCGCTGAGCAAAGGCAAAGCCGGCGGTCAGGGCATCACGAGTCATGACCTGGGGTCGGTGCTCCAGGAGATACGGCACGAGCAAACCCGAGAGCCAGCCAAGCGGGAAAGGATTGATGAGCACCGCGTGCTGGTGCAAGTCGGCCACGGGACCGCAGCGTACGCGATCTGCTACCTCGTCCACGATGAAAAGGTACTCGTTACTATCGACCTTCCCAAAATGGAAATCGGCTTCGATAAACGGGCGGGTAAGCTGAAGAGCGTTCTCGTGATCACCGGGATCGGCTGCAGCTGCCGCAGCCGTAACAAGAGTCTGGCGCTTTTGTTGCCGGCCCTCATTGAGCGCTAGCGAGAAGGATAGCTGTCCATTGCGAATGGTGCGTTTTGGCAGGGAGCGCTCGGTGGTGGTGCGAAAAACACCTCGGCGATAGGCAGCCTGCCACCGCGACTCCAAAACGGTGTCCAAGCTCGGGATTTCTGAAAAGGGAGTGGACTTGAGGCAGGCAAAGGGTACAAAATGCAAATGGCTCAGGAGTGCCAGCGCCAAGAAGCTGGCCAAGGCGTAACCCCAAGCTCGCCGCCGCCACTCCTCGGGCTGGTGCACTGCACTGAGCACCGGCGCGCTGCGGCGCGAAATGCGCGCCTGCCGCTGCTTCATCGGATCAAGGGAGTTGGAGATTGACCCTGGACGGCCAATCCCAGACTCATCCCACGCAAATCAGCTACAGCTCAACATCAGGTCGCGTGATGCTCTGGATCAACGGCTTCCGTACGCACGGCCCATGTTTTGCTCGGCAAAAACTCCAGCGGTGGTCAATCGGCTGCTGGCCAGCACAATCAGGCCAACACAGCTCGTATGCACAACTTGAAAAAGCGAAAATCAGGGTGTAATCGGGCCGAGACCCAAAACCAAGATCAAAGCGGCGTCCTCGATACTCAAGAACGGCTCCCTAGCGCTGAGTATCGATCACTCCTCCATCGACCCGCTGCTGCAGCAAGCCGGCACGAATCAGCACCTCGTCGGGCAACCTGCTGCGCATAAGAAAAAGAAATTGCAATTTCTTGTTCTCTCTTCCAGTCAAAATCTTTTTTTTCTCTCTCTCTCTCTCTACGAGTTCGCTTATTTTATTTTATTTTTTTAATTGCTGCAGCTGGAAAAGATTGGCGTTGGATAATTTAATTGTGAGATATTCGCAGCTTGGCTGCCATTTGTACCCTTCATGCTCAAAGTTGGTCGTCCTGTTCTCGGAACAGGAGCAGCAACCGACTTGGCGTTGGGGTCTTCAAACGTTTTATATGCCAAAAAAACAAACAAAAAAAGAGGGGAAATTAATCAGGAAAAAAGAGCAACAAAATCAACCGAATGAAAAGTAGTCGGCGTCAGCTGATAGGTACAGAAGCTCGGCCTTAGAACTTTCGGGGCTCAGAACCGTGTCTTGCAGGCTGTGAGCGTGGCAGGCTAAACACACATGATCACGTGTGCAACCTGCATGTGCCGGACGCTTGCACCGGCAGCAAATGGTGATGGAGCCATAGCCGGCTTCAGGCGGGGGCAGCAAGCCAAGATCGAGGTCGGCTGGGAGGGGATGTGACAGCGAGGCCGCAAGTTTTTGGGCATGTCCGGCCTCGACGCTTGTCGACTCCTCTTCCTCTTCGAGAGTAGTCTCCAGCTCGTCAATGCCAGATATGTCTAGTTTCGAGTCGATGCTGTACATGGTCGCACCCGATTGGAGCTCATGACAGGCCGTGCCGGCACTGCACATTCGTGGGAGGCGACGACAGACGGCACACCGTTGCACATGACTCTCGAGTACATCCACAAACGCACTCAAGCGAGTTGTCACATCCATTTGCGGCATTTGCAGCAGGTGTCGAAAGGAGATGCGTAGAAAGGGCCGCTCCTCAAATAGCACTGCATAATGCATGAGGTCCGCCGGCATCATGGCCAAGAGCTGATCACAACTGGGACAGCCTACATAGCAACAATCACCTCAAATCAGATGTCTAATTTGCAGCCGATGGGAATCCAGAAAGAAAAGATGCGGAGAACGAAGGACAAGAGGAAGATATGGCGAACATAGACGTTTGGATATAACGACCTGCAAGTAAAATGCCATAAATGCACTGATGCAGTCGCCGCTGCAAACCCGCAAGCGTTTCCACAAGGTTGGTGCCGAAAACCTGTGTTGTCGAGCAGGGTCAGGCAGAAGCAGGCGTGCTTCCAGGATCCCGGACTATGAGAGAAGCTCTTCAGGTCAGGTAACAACAAACCTTGAGGGCACGGTCGGAAAACTCGGCCACATTGAGCACCAGATCATCCATGCATGCGCGCACGTGTCGCTCACAGGGCTGGCAGACGACGTGTGGCTAAAGCAAGAAACCAAGCAGAAGCAGAAAGGGCATAGTCAGTTGGGGAGTCATAGCAAAGGCCTTGCAACGGAAGTGGGCGGGGGAGCATTTGTTCCTCGTACCTTGAAGTTGCCTTTCTTCAGCACATATGAAGGCAAGAGGCATCTGGTTGCACAGCAGGTCCGGCAAAACCACCGATCACAGTAGCGGCAACACTCGGGCCGTCGATCTAGTTTGAGATCATGACGTGACCCCAATTCTTTGCCACAGTCTGGACAATGGCTCTCGGCTCGGCTTGGATTCTTCGTGGGCAGTCTGCTTGGAGATAAAAAAAAAAAAAAAAAAAGAGAGAAAAAAAAAAAAACCAAAGCAAGACAAGGAAGAAGAAAGAATTTCAGAAGAATGAGTCTTGCGGAGCACTGGCAAAACGAACACTTCCGCGAACAAGAAGAAAAGAGGGACACCGCGATGGACATGGATGGATAAGGCGATACACACGTCATGCGCATGAATCGATCGTCCTGGTCAAAAGGAAAGGCCTCCTTATGCTGAGGGCCACACATCGCAAGTGATGTCAGACCATCGCGTTCTGTAAGACAGGCTTGGTTACGACTTGGCAAAATGTGACAAACCTGTTGGGCTGCCCCTAAAATCCATTTGCGCGCAGAAGTTGGCACCGCTTCTTGCGTGGCTCGCAGGTCAATTGTGCTATGGTCGCCCGAAGCATCGGAGAATGAGGCACGACGCACTCTCGTTCAGAGTCTGGCGACTAGAAGAAATGCCAACGCACCGAGGGAATAAAGCATGGGCATAGTCAAAGTTGATGGCCTCCATGATGGGGGCTTCCAGCAGGTTGGCCTGAGACAATGAGTTGAGCACGCCCAAGGGTACACAAGGAGTGAATCAACTACTCGGACTCGTGCGCGACGAGGCGCAGCTTTGCTGTTGTAGCACCAACCTTCGTGACGTCGTGAAAGGCGCGCGAACTGTCGAGGTCCACCTGATCGTGAAGTAGGTGTCCGAGCCCGGCGCCAGGCGCTATTTTCGCAGACCACAACAGTATACGGCCGTGAGTGCAGCCAAGAAAAACAAAACAAAACACTGTAACAAATTCAAGTGGTATCGGCCGCACCTTTGAGCGAGGGAGCAGACTCATTGGTCGCGGGTGGACAAGTGCGATCCAGTCCTGAAAGTTGACACAGCGCAAAATAGTCCAGCTACAAACATAAGATTGGTGAATTTGGAAGGTTCGTGGAGCAGACGTGCAAGAGCCGTGCATCGGCCACATGTTCATGCAAGCCGCACCATGGGCCAGCTAGGATGGGCGCAAAAGGGCTCCGAGAGCCATTCTCGTAACACAGTGCATTGCTCAAGCACATTGCTCTTGCTCGGATCATGAGTAACAGTCACGGGCGGAGAGGCCTGAAACTATATGCAGGCATGCTGTGAGGTCAAAGCTTCGGGGCAAACGGTCATCGGTCAACTTGTTGCGGCTGTACTCCGAGCGCAGAGACAGTGACACTCACCTCATGAGGGAGTGGGATCGGTTGGACAGGAGCGTGGGGCGCGCGCATGACAAGAGTCTCGCACACATGATCAGAGTGCTCAATCAGGTCAACAGTGTGGTGCGTCGAGGATCGCGTCTCCAGCGAAGCATCGACGTGGTTTGACGCAGGGCTCTTGGTAATCGAACTAGAGCTGGGGGCGCGGGGGAGCTGATTATGCGAGCTTGGTCTTTCCAATTGCAGAGTCCTGATCAGCATGTTGGATCAAGCATAGCGTTAAGATCAGGCAAGCAACGAGGGAGGTGAACGGAGGCAGAAGTAAGAACACGTACGGAAGAGATTGGGATGACGATGTGCTGGGCTGTCGTTGTCGCGACGACTGTATGACATGCGAGGCAACCAGTTAATGCGGCGATCAGGCCACGGTTACCAGATGACGGGCCGCGTGCGAGTCAGATGGGGATACGAATGCACGCGAGCATTGGAACATACACGAAGGCGGGGCGTCGAAGCGGACATGTTGATGAGCTGGCCAAATTCATGCTCAAGGTGTTTTTCATTGCTCCATTCCAGCTGGTCGCGCTCGCTGGTGGATAACAGATTTTGCTATCAACAGCGGGTCCGTATACAGGCAGTTGTCAACATGATGGCGTGTCAAGAGGCGTGCAAGTCAGGGTGAGGAATCGACGCGAGGGCGGTGGTGCTGCACCTTGCGCTTGATAAAGGTGGCAAAAATAAGGAAGCAGATGACTTGATATTGTTGCTGTAAGCGTCGCTCCACGGAGGTTTGTCCTGACGTATAGTAGGTGACGGTCCAAGAGGGTCCGGATGAAAAGCCAAATGAAGCAAAGTCCGGGACCCGTTTGACAAGCACCCACCTTTTTTGTGATGCATGGGCCGGATGAGATAGACGGCTAGATCCTCGGCAAAAACTGGCATCAGAGAGGAGGGCAATTCAGCAGCACCATCCTACGTGTGAGGGGGAGGGTGGACGGAGAAAATCCGCGATTCGAACGTCATTGCAGCTTTGAGGAAGGGAATGGTGTCAAGTCAGTCTGAGGCAAGCTCATGGGGGACGGCAGGCGGCGCGGACCTCATCAAGCCCGCGGGTGTAGACGAGGTCAATGCGAGCCAGGACTGTCATCAGGTATTCGAGCACGCGGCGACGAGGTGACGGGATGGCAAAGAAGAGCTCGTGAAGCGCATCCGATATTCCGGGGGTGGTCAGACGCAAGAGGCTTCTGGAGAAGAGCTCGCGCAGTTGACGTCGGCTTGCCTTTTCTGTGTTGGAGAGCCAGGAGCGATCCTCTGTTGATTTCCATACCCAGGAAGGAAAAACACAAACAGAGTGAACAGTGGCAAAGGCAGGTATCTGGCAAGCTTGAGATCTGATGAGCAGCGCCAAGGGCACTTGGGAGGCTCTACGCACCATAATTGCCAACGAGGACAGCCTCATCGTTACGAAGCCAGGCGGAGAGGGAGCTGGCGCTCATTTCATCACGCATGTACTCGGACACAAACGCCTCATAGCCCGGGTGCTGGCGAATGCTACTCAGGCAAGACTGACAGATGTCCATGGCAAAGTGAGTACCCAACCACAGCCGCTCGGAGGAGGCGGGCCAACCAGGGAAGGACAAGTGAAAAAAAAAAAACGCACGGCAGCATGGGCGGTGGCCAGGTCAATAGCTTTGCGAAACATGGCTTCTGGTACAATGGAGTGGGGCAGCTCGCGCACAAAAGCGCGCAAAAGATGGTAGCAAACTTCCGGGGGCGGTGCGCTCGGTGCGCTTGCGGCAGCATTGGTCAGGTCATATTGACCTTCCACAGCACGACGCCCGTCCTCAAGGCTAAGGCAAGGGCATGGGCGGCGGGGTGTGGTAAGTGACAAATCTAGTTGCTTTGTTGAAAGTGCACGCGGCACGCCGAGGCAGGAGAGCGGGCTCATGGGGTGGGCTGGCCGTGCGGACCTGGTCTCTGAAACGTCTGCCTCAACAATGGCGTAGATGGAGTGGGCTGAAGTTTTGCTCAGCTTGTCAGAGACCACGGCACCGTCATGAAGATGCTCACACAAATAAACCAGACCGTGCGGCAGAGTTGGCGCTAAGGAGAAGACGGCCAGCCAAGGCGCAGAACAACGAGCGAGGGCGGTGGTGAGCGGGAGTAAATTTAAGCGTGGGCAGACGCATGGGTGGAGGGCGGGGGCGTTGAGTGAGGGCGTGATGCACATGATCTTCAAGACAGCGAACATGGTCTTCCTCCATGCTCAGTCTGAAATAACATACCCGCCTCATCAGCAGCCAGCATGAGCTGATTCAAGCTCACGCCGAACATGACGCCGCTGCCCACAGAGCTCGATCAGCGCCGTGTTCGGGAGGAGGGCGGAGGGAGGGAGATCGCCTAAGCGATAGAATGATTATTATCACACTTTGAAATATAAATGCAGTTGAGCTAAGAGGGGTAGAGTTGAGATTAAGTATTCAGGAGGGACGGAGTAAGATACAGCAAAATTACCACACGTAAAAAGAGGAGGAGAAGAGAGTAAAGAGAGAGAGAGAGAGAGAGAGTGTGTGTGTGTGAAGAGATAAGAGAAAGGAAGTGAGAGAGAAAGAAAAGCGTGCGAGAGAGAGTAAAGCGAGGAGAGAGTAAAGCGAGAGAGAGAGAGTAAAGCGAGGAGAGAGTCAAATTGTCAGATTTTCGAGGGTCGTGCAACAACAAAAGCATAGACGACGACGACGAGGAGGAGGAGCCGGCGCGCAAGTTTGGATGTGTCTCGGACCGAGTCTTGTGGGCGATCGCGGGTGAGCAGGGCCGCGGTGCGGTGTAGCAGACGGGCGAGGGTGGGGGCGGGGCCCGAGGGTGGAGGGGTTGGGACTGGTTGGTCGAGTGTTGCGTTTTGTGTGGGGGTGATTTGATCATGATGTGCGGTGTTGGTTGATGTGGTAGGTGGAGCTGATCACAGCGGGGCGAGATGGAGCGGTGACCTTGGAGGGTTCCACGTGCGGCAGTGCCGCCATTAGTCGAAAAAAAAAAGTATCTGTGCGTAACTCTGCGACGAGACAGCATGCCGCTGTTTGGTCGTCGACGCGACTCGCCCCAGCGACGGGGGAGCACCGGAAGTCTGGCTGGTGCAAGCCCCGAGGAGATTCGCTCCAAGTTAGCCACCATATCTTTCAGCGCCAATACCCCGCCCATGCCCGTTTCCCCGCCCAACACCAGCGAGCGCAATGGAGCCGGGCGCTTGGAAGTTCGCCGTAGCTCTCTACCCACAAGCTCTGGCTTGCATGTTCAGTCCTCCCAGTCCTCGGCGTCGGGTACCACCCCCCCACCTGCTCACACGGCCTCGAGTGCAACCCCACCGCCCGGATCGCCGTTGGTGCAACATGCTGCCATTGGCGGTCACGCCGGCCGGTCGCGCGTGCGGCGTGGTAGTCTTGAGACGGGGGCCGGTGTCCCCTTTGATCATCATCCTAGCTTTGTCCCGCAACATGGCTCGCCCCAGAATGGCTCACCCCAGCACGGCTCGCCGCAGCACGGCTCACCCTTACCAGGGTCACCCATCCGGGGATCGCCTCTGCCAGGATCGCCCATCCGTCCACCCTTGGGCTCCTCGGTTGGTCTCATGCGTGCCAATTCATCACCCATCATCACAACCCCGACAAATCAGGCGCCGACTTCGCGTGGACGCTCCCTATCCCTCTTTGAGCGTACCATGGCCGGTAGTCGCCAGCGCAGCGCCTCTCTGACGCGCGAAGAGGCGAGCGCACCAACATCTCCCCTGTACAGTCACAGCGCTAGTCCCATTGTGCCTCGCCATCGCTCCTTGTCAGCCTCACCCACTCAAAAGCGTCGTGCCACCGCCATCTTTCTGCAAGTCGAGTCGGCCGACTTTCGCACCAAAAGCCTCGTCCTCCACGTGCCTGGCCCTTCAATTCCGCTTGGCGTTGCTCTAGCGGGGGCTGCCCCCGTCTGCGTGAAAAGCATCACCCCGTGCGTTGCCTTTGGTAGCTGGTCGCCACCCATGCTTGTTCGCAAGTCTTGTGCTGTGTCTTCTCACATGGTCTGCCGTCCCCCCTCCCCATGGTTACCTTTGTTTTTGCACAGCTCCTCCCCGGCCGAGCGTGCTGGGCTCACCGTATTTGACCGCATTCTGGCAGTCAATGGCACAGGCGTGGCCAGTGCTTCCCTCAACACTGTGACTGATCTTCTCCGGGTTGCCGTCTTCCAAGCCCTCGGTGATCGCATCAGCCCCCCTTCCACTCCCCCACCCCTGGCAGCACACGCCAGCCCGCGTACGTTGCTACGACCATCAGCACGTGCCCCTCTCTCGAAATACGTCACTTGAAGCGACGTGCAACACACACACTCAACTTGCGCAAAGGTCTCATTCTTGATTCTCGTGGTCATTTGTGATGGTGTAGGTCGTGCAGCCAGCCGACGCCACATATCCATGTCCCTGGATGATCTGTCCCAAATGCCCTCACCCCGATCCATTCTGCTTGGACCGGGAAGTACTGGAAGGCGCACTCCTGTCAAAAAGCGTGTGACGGTGAGAAAACCTCTGATACGACCGATGCTTTTTGTGCTTTTGGGTTTCTTGACTTGTTTGCCTGCACGAGCAAACACATATACTGGGTAGCTCGGAGGCCATCCGAGATGATTCCCTCTTCGACCCAGTCAAACAAAGAAAGAAAAACAAAAACAAGGGTCGACGATATGGCAAAAAGATCTCACTCCTTGTCGGTTATATCTCCCCCCCCCCCCTATTTTTGTTTGCCGTTGCAGTTTGTTAAAGGTTTAGAGGCACCACCACAATCGCACTTGCGCTCCCCTTCAGTGGATAATCTCTTTTTTCAGAGTCCGCAAGCATCTTCCACGGCCTCTCCCGCTTTGCATCGACGGTTTTCTCCACAGCCTTTCGCCGATAACTTGCCCGTGCTATCGCTTTCCAGCAGCCCCCCAGACGATCCGCTCCCCATGCCTGGTCACGAGTCACCCTTGATGCCGTTACTGGACGCACAAGATGCTGAGCGGGCCCTCATGCTGCTGACTCCGGACGAAGAAGCGCTATTCGACCGAGTCACCGCACCAGACTCAAGCCTGGATGACGCATCACCTATGCCAAGTTCGCCTCTTGGACGAGGTCTGCGCGATGTTTGGCGACCCGACCTCATATCATCACCGCCACTTACACCTGCGCCTACCCCCGAGTGTTCAAATGCTACGTTGGCGCCGCCCCACTCTGCTACGCCTACTGAGGCCTCGCAGGAGGTGTTTGGGGGCTTTAGCGATCTCAGTGACACGGGAAGCAGTGATGATAGTGACGTGGAAAGCGATGATAGTAACGTGGAAAGCGATGGTCATCCTGATCCAGTGACTGGGCATCTGGGCTTACGACGCCCGATTGTATCACCCAGCCTGTTGCTCGAACATCCACCTGCCGACGAGCCCCCCGAGCCACCCGGAGACGTTGACACGCTGGAAGCTGATGACGCGTTTTCATCGACTGCCTTTCAAGAGTCTGCTGCAACCTCGGCACCCGAAGAAGGTGCTCGCCGCTTATTTGGCTTTCAAGGGTACGAAGTGGACGAGGCGGCGTTGGCAAGTTTTGCTGCTCTGGGCGATGAGTCGACGGTTGACGACATATCTGGCTTTGATGAGGCAAGTCCAGATATCCTGCCCACTCGAACCAAAGCTGTGCCTGGGACCGCGGCTGCTGCAGGTCGTCACGTCTTGACTCTAGAACGACGTTCTTCCGACGTGGATGTGGATGTGGATGACGACCTGGCGACATACGGCTGGGAGTAGTGATTGGTCGAGCACATTATCACGGTTTCCGGAATGTCCAACTTCATCAGCAGGCCGCCTCAAAGCGCACAGGCAGTTCGATCGTGCCATGCACAAGGACGTTGTAAAGGTGTCGAAAAAACAGAGTTAAATTGACATGTGTATAAGTGCTACGTCCCGCGCCTCGTTCTTGACAGAACGATTTCCCATTTTACATCCACAAAATGAACAGACTCTTTCAAAGACAAGGGGGTAAATTAGCATCGGCGGGAAGCACCCGTAGGCTTGGCAAACACAGATGAACAGGCGATAGCGCAATTGACGAGGGCACAAGATGGTGGATGGCATGCACTCATGGCCAAGAGAGAGACAACTTGTGTGGCAATGGGGGCGTTCAGCCGTAGCCAAAACCAAGGCGGCGGGACGTGCGGCCGGGGTAGGGGTTGCCCGGTGCTCGTTGCCACTGCTCCTCTTCATCGGGCACTTGGGGCTTCACCCGCTCCTTGGTGGCCTGGGCGATAGCGCGCTGCATAGGCACTGCATTGGGGAAAGCATTTTGCAATTGCGCAAGCTCAGCCTGGGCTCGCTCCAAAAAGGCGTCGTCCTCGGCCTGCAGTCGTTGCAGGTGGTTCTAGATCATGTTGGCAAACAAGGTGAGCGTGTCGAAAGGATGGGCAACATGCAGCAGCCGTAATCAACAAGCACAGCCTGCAAGCCCTTCAAACAGTGGCGCTGGCGATTGCTGTCCCTTGGCCACACCACTCGTGGCAGGATACGGACAAACCTGTCCAAACTGGATGTCCGACTCTCGCTCCCGACGGCGCTGCTCGTGCTGAAGCTTGACCATCACTTGCTGTTCTTCCTGTAACCTCCGTTGCTCCTCGCGTTGCTGGGTGTTAGTGCGTAAGAAGGAATGAGCCAACAACATAAAAGCTACCACCATCGAGTGGTGAATCATTCGCCATTTTCATGCCTCACAACAGACCTGTGCAGCTTTCTGACGAGCTTGCTCTTCCGCACTCAGTGCTTCATCGCGCATTTGCAAAGCCATCTGATCAGGGCACGGGTCGAATGAGGTCGGGGTGCTCGAGGAGCGCTTGAGGCAAGGGGTTTGAGCCAACTGTTGCAGCATACCTCGCGGTCCTGTTGCAGCTGGCGGCGACGCTCTTCAGCGCGGCGCTCCACTTCAGTTTGCCGATGCTGGAAGATGCTATCAAGCATTTCGCGGCGCTTGGCTTCCTTTTTCTGGGCTTGCTCTGCGGCCTTACGATCAGCCTGTTCGATGGCCGCTTGGCGGCGCGCCTCATCTTCCATCTGAACAGCACAGACCACGTTGTCGTGAGTACGGATGATCTACATTCAGGGCTGGCATAGGCGTGAGAAACGTACTTCGCGGCGCACAACGGTGGAGCTGAGGATGTTGCTGGCAACGGTTTGTCGTTGGGTCTTGGCCTTGATATTCTGCATTTGACGGTGGTGCCTGAGACAAGACCAAGAAGGCAGAGGCAAATCCAGCCCATGAGCCATTGACCAGGAGCATAACAACTCAAAGGGGGGCTCGCTTGCTACTAGCGGAGGGGACGATTTGAGGGCGATGGGCGATGCAGTCGCACCAGTCAGCGGCTTGTGCCGCCCGTTCCTCGGCAGCGGCACGGCACCGCTCCTCTGTTTCGGCATCCTCACGGCGGCGAGCTTCCTCAATGCTGCGGCGCTCCGCCATCTGGCGATCCAACTCTTGTTTGGCCACTTTCTGAGCTTCGATGCGCTTTCGCCGCCGTTGTTCCTCTTCGGTTCGGTACGCTGTCTACATACATGTGCAGGTACGTGGAGTGTGGTGCGTGGCGGGTACGTTGGTGGGCATGTGAGACGTGGGGGTGCAAACACAACGGCAGACTGGCTAAAGCAGGGCGAGGTGACCTGCCATACCAGATCACTTTCAATCTCTTGAGCCTCCTCAAGGTCATGGCGACGATTAGAGCTTCGCATGGTTTCCTAGTGAAAATAATCGTCGGATTGAGGGGGATGTTTGGAATGCGGTCACGGTGTGGGGAAGGGATGCCAGATGTCGAAACAATGAGATGGCAGGCTGTTCAAAGGACCAGACCTTGGTGTGAGCTTGCTTGAGCTGCTCGGCAGCCAGAGTTAGCGCGGCTTCACGGGCAAGGCGCTGGCGTTCCTCCTGTGCACGAACAATCCATGCGATGACAAGAGTCAGCGAGGAGCAGGTGCAGCGGTGTTGAAACGACAAACAGGAGAGGAGGAAAAAGGTGGGATCGGGAGGTACGCGAAAGCGCATGACGCTGAAACGTGGTATCGATATACGCACCTCCTCGAGCTCGGCTTGGTGGGCAGCCTCGACTTGGGCTTGGTGAAGAGACATTTCGTGTTCCTTAATAAGTGCCTGCTTACGCTGTTGGCGGCCCTGCTGCCGTTCGCGCTCCTTGATGATTTCAGCCGTCAGAATGCCACTGCGAAAGAGGCGCATTTTATCCGTTTGTTCCTCTTGCAAATGGCGGGCGCGCTCGAGGGCTTGGAGGCGCTCTTCTTCCCGAATGCGTTCCTCTTCGAGATCGATTTCCAAGCGGCGGGCCTCGGCTTCGGCTTCGCGGCGAGCCCGGGCCTCCAATTTGGCCTGGCGCTGGCCTGCGATGGTGTTGCTCCAGCCCGAGACCATGGCCTTTGACTTTTCATGCAGCGCCTGCCGTTGCTCTTGGCGCGTCCTGCGGAAAGGAATGAGCAGCGCGCGAGGGTCATGTGCAGACAACGACGCAAAAGCCTAGTGGGCCACAGCAACAAGCCAAGAGATATTGAGCAACGACATACTTTGAAGGCGCAACTGGCCGACTATCGGCACGGATTCGGTCCCATTCGGCTTGGGTCAGCACAAGGGGCCGCCGTGTCTACGCGACGCGAGTCAGATCGAGTTCAGATAGAGGAGCATAAGGCACGGCGAACGAGGTCGATTGGCGAGGCAGCCACACGGTGACAGCAAGGAAAGGCGAAAACGGACCGCAGCAGCCATTGCAAGGTTTGGGGGTGCAAACGAGCGTCTTTGTAGCTGAGCAAATCACACCACACCCAGGCAGCCAAGAGGCGTCTCAAAGGAGACGGCAGCTCACAACGATGCCGGCTACAACAAGCACCGGGTGTCCCGTCTGTATGTGTGCTGTGCGTGTGTGTACGTGTGTGTACGTGTGTGAAAAAAGGATGCGCCTCAACGATACAAGGCGTACTCGAATCTGCTCGGTCGGTCTTATCGAAACGATCAACGATCGGTCAGACGGTCAGACGGTCAGACGGTCAGACGGTCGAGATGAATCAGATCCGCGCGCGGGTTTTGTCGGCAAGTGGTTGCCACACGACTTTCAGAGGTGTGTACTGCTGGGGTGTCTTGGGGGCTTGAAAGGCAAGGGGAAACTCGTGTACCATCAGAGGGACGACAGTTGGCGGTGCTGCGTCTCAAGCGTTTGTCTGACATTTGTGTAACCAAGGCATGCGAAAAGCTCACGATGCAAGAACGTGAATGTGTTGTAGTGTAAAAAGTGATAGACATCCAGAGAAACGCAAATTGTAAAATATCTCTTTAAAATCAAATCGGGCAGATTCAAATGGCGCAGATGAGAAAACCAAAACCAGAGGCGGCGCTCTTACCATGGCGTTGGGGGGGTGTTGCTCACCTCATAGTCACGGCAAGGAGTAAACCAGGTCGCAAAGAGCAACTACGCCGTGGCATGCGCCTGTCAAAAC